AAATTTCCTCCTACTGGTTATCTCTAAAAATGTAGTTATGGCTGAAGATTTACTTTCACATCTTTTCTTTCTACTCCCATTTTCAGTTGCCCATACTCTCCCACCTCCTTCCAAAGAGTTTTTGTTTCTGCCAAGCTTAGTGCAATTTATTATTCAATCATTGCACCCTCATTTTTTTCTTTACCTTCAGAAAACTGAATTTGAATAACGCAGATAGATCAGCATTGTAGTCCTTATTGGGAAAAAGTCTGATAAATTAAAAGTAATAACGTATTTGGTTTGACCTCCCAAAAGATACTGAGCATTGTTTGTAGAAAGAAAGGCAAGATATTAATGTCTACTCTGTCAAAAGTGCTTCTAGTTTGCCACCTTTAAAAATTATTGAGAAGATCCTAAATAGTTTTTCATCTTAAAATTTGCCATTGTGATTGAGTTTTTCAAAAATTAATATATGTTACATCAATAATTCTACTGTTAATAACATTTGTGCTTTCCACTTACTAGGTGACATGCCTCCCAAGCTTATTTATATTAGTCACTTAATTCTTATTCACGTAATTATCTCCATTTTACAAATGAAAACTTGGGGTTCAGGTTAAATAACTTGTCCAAGATTATATTCAGGGAGTGGTAAAACTGGGATTAAAACTCAGGACTCTGGTTTTCAGTTTGTGCTTCTAGTCATTTCCGTGCTACTAATTAAATAAGTATGTATCAAAATTAAGGAACCTATAGTTCATTTTTTGCTTTGTTTTTGTCTTTTAGCATTCTCATCTTAGCCAAAGAGCACAGGCCAGTGTTTATTGAGGTATAACCCACAGAATTTAAGAAGTTTAAATTCAAGCTATTAAACATTATACATATAAAGAATAAGATTTTTAAGGCCAGACGTGGTGGCACACATCTGTAGTCCCAGCACTCAGGAGGCTAAAGCAGGAGAATTGCTGTGAGCTTGAGACCAGCCTGGGCTACATACTAAGTTCAAGGCCAGCCTGAACCACATAGTGAGACCCTGTCTCAAAAAAGAAAAGAAAAGAAAAAAAAATTGGAACTTTTGCTTACCAGAATGTACATACCTTTTTTTTTAAAGTCATATGAAGGCTTGTTTCTGACAGAAAGTTTGGGTTTAGTAGCAGTTAGTACAGATTAACATCTTGATTTAATATTGATCCACATTTGCATATACATCTCGGTGTGTTTGGTATTACAGTTTTAGAGGTAAGTGGTAGTTTTTCACACACTTTCAAGCCATTTCCATCAGTAATGAAATACTCGGCTTTGGCATTCTCTGGACTCCTGGTGTTTCAGCCTAAACTTTCCACTCAGCCCTGCCAGGCACTAACTTTAAAATACCTTTTTTTTTTTTTTTTTTTTAACAGAGAACGCCTCCAAAAGGTGCAGCTGTGTGCTGGTTTCATCTTGCACTGTGCAGTGGTGTTGGCACCACTCGATGCAAAGAATGCCACTGTCTCCCACACGCCGCTGGTGCCCGGGACTGTTGAGGCCTGTCCATGTTGGTGGTTTGGAAGGGCTTAAATTTAGAGAGAAAGCTCTCGCCTGCTCTTTACAATTGGCTGCCACCAGGGCAAAGGGGGGAAAATGAATGGGTGGAAAATGCAGGCTCGTATGTGTCATCAAAAATTTTTTCTACAGGAAGCTGGGACACCTGGTTCCATGGTGTCCTTGTCAATATCAAAAAAAACTAATTCCTCTTTTCTTTTGAAATGCTATGTGTCTTGGATTCACTACTTTCAGACCTTTTGACTGTTCTTTCTTCATTTCTTGTGCAATACTAATTTCTCTTGATGAAAAATGATTCAGCTAAGTGAAAAATGGGGGTTGGACTATAGTAGTGGAATCTACAAACTCCCAGATTCTTAAGAGTGGACTTGGTTCTCCAGACTTAGGGTGCCACAGTAGGCTTCAAACCAAAATGCATTCCTCACTCAGGTATAAAAAAGCCTAAAGAGGACTGACATGTATACTTTAGAAGGATCATGCTCAGTTAGTTTGTGTTTTGCTTGATAGTTCCACCCTATAATTCTGTGTTTTTTAAATCTTTTGGTCCCATTATATTTTGGTTTATCGGACTGTCTGATGTGATATTTTATCATGGACTTGTCACAGAATGGCTTACCAAGTTGAGTAATTTCCAGCAATTGTCATTTCCTGTTGGGATCTCTAAAGAAAGACTAATGAAAAAATGTTGACCTTGTGTATTTAATGGAATTAATGAAGTAGTTGATTTTAGGATTGTTGTAAAAATTAATATTTTGTTTTAGAATACTTCTTAGAGTTTTGATAGTAATTAATTCCATTGTCTGAAGTAGATGATATAAACTCGAGCAGCTCTGAGTTCTGAGGTCCTGTGTCGAAATATTTCTAAAAGGGAAGTGAATTGAATCACAGTCATCATCCTAGGGAATAGGGAGACCTTGGATTGTTATTTTTAAGAACTGATCTATCCTAATAAATTTTACTTTTTAAAATTTTAATTGTAAAATCTTGATCAACTATAATGATTTATACCTTTGAGCAGTATGTAAAGTTTTTTTCCAATATTAAAAATTCAATGGGAAATTCACTCATTACTTTACAAAAGGAGTACTTTTGTTTCCTACTGTAGGTATGTAGCCAGCTTACCAGCCTGCTTTTCTTTCTTCCTTTTCCTTTCCCTTTCTTCTCCCCCCCTCCCCCAATGATCTGGTGATTATTTCGAGAAAAGTCTCAGTGTTCCCTCATAGATACTTGGTATCCATCACAATGCTTTTTAGAAACTTCATCTAACACCAGAATGAGTAAAACAAATGATGTTTTGTAGCTCAGGATAACAGCAAGTAGACTAAAATGTTTTTCCCAAAGAAACTGAGAAGGACAAAGAAAAGAAAGAATGCTTTGCTTTTTAAATTTTTTTCAGCTGAAGTGAAGAAAGAGAGATGGAAACCCTTTTGTATGTAGCATTTCCCAGCTTAGCAGTATAACAACTGTGGGTGCATATTTCAAACACAATTAGATGAAATCTTTAATTATCGTTTAATTTAACTTTCATATTCCCCTGCAGAAGTGATCATGTTGATAAGATCCTGGAAGGAGATAAACATTTATTAAGCAATTTCACTTTTGGTGCCAGCATGGAAGTTTTTTTTTTTTTTTATTAAGTAAATAGCCTTATTTATGAGGGAAAGGGAAGAGCAATTGGCACATTAGTTGAGTATTTTGTGGGTGTGTTTGTCTGTGTATTTACTATTTAATCTTTAGCTTTTTGAGTTTTGGGATATGCTAAGACCCATTGGGTTGAGAGGAATAAGGAGAGATGCTAAAGTGAATGCTAATGAGTAAATACTCTCTACCATTTATCCATAAGTTTCCCTTCTTTTGCATATACTGACTGAGTAATAACCAATTCCTTCGGTATAGAAGGTATTCATCAGAGAAGATACTTTTGTGAGCTTAAACATGTATTGAGGCTGGGCCGGGGATTTAGCTTAGTGGTTCTACTGCCTGCCTCACAAGCGCAAGGTCCTGAGTTTGATTCCTGGTACCAAAAAAAAAAAAAAAGAAAAGAAAAATGTACTGAGGCCAAGGGAAGTGATTTACACCACTAGAGGAAACGAAAGGGTGTGTTCTCCCATTTTATAATATTTCTTTTTTAATTTTACAGTGCTTTTAGCTAAAGACTGAAAATTTAAAGACATGTACATTTTGAATGCTTTTCAGATACCTTAATAGTTTATAACATTTAGAGACTTAGAGATGTCATTGCTGGATGCTTTTGGGGGAGTCGCCAAAGAAAATCTATATGGTGCTATGGAATTTTCCTCCATAATTTATCTCTTCTCCTTCTCTCCTGGGTAGTTGTGGTAGCTAATCACACATATCCACCCATCACAGGACGTATTGCAGTCTTTAGGGTCTTAGACCAGAGGGTTGAAGGTTGGCAAAATGAATTAAGTCATAGTTCTCTGAGGGCAGAATTTAATACACCTTTACTTTTGCATCATGAATCTGTTGTTCTGTGTTGACTCTTACTACTTGAAATATGGACCGAATTAGAAATTTGCCCAACATGGTATATGGCTTATAATAAAGAATTATACCATTAAAATCTTAGTGAAATAAGATTGCAGCTATATTGAATATATTTAGCTCCCTCTTCTGGCATATTTTGAGCAAAATATTTTTACTTAAAAATTTTGGGGGCGAGCGGAATATGGTTGTCAATTGTAACGTTAAAATAAGTTGTTTATAAATACCATCCAATTAGATTTCGTTTTGTGTCATTAAAATTGGTAAAACATACAAATAAAGCATGGAAACAAAACTTATAAAAACCTTTCATTTCTTACTGTCCAAAATGTGCACAAGCAAATAAAGGGTTCACTAGCAATTACACAAGAACTTAATTTGATGTCCAGTGTGCAGCCAACTCTGGTGCTTGTAGGACCAGAGTACAAAAGGAGGGCGATTACCCCAAACCTAAATAAGTTAGCTATGCATCATGTTAACAAACCATTCACTAAAATCTGTTCTATTGTTCTACCTGGGCACTGATATTTTCCTAATACCAAGAGGCCAGATTTGAGTTCCTATTTCTTGGGCTCCTCGGAGTGCTGCCCTAGAGCATGGTGAAATGGGGAGGGTGGCCCTGCTCACCTGGCTTCACTTTGCATACCCAAACTCCAGTCCCACTTAGCCCACCTGTGGGGTACAGTGTGCACCCAGACCGGGAGGTCTGCACTGGAGAGAGGCCATAGGAGTTCAACTGGCAAGGAGATCCGGATTCTGGGTAGGCACTCTGAGTATGTCCTGTGGGAGAGGAAGCAGGCATGTTCCTTAGCCCAAGAATGTGCAGCCCCGTATAGGAGTCCTTCCTACTCAGTTCTTGCGTTTGCTCCTATCAGATGTAATTAAATTACTTTGTGTTGGAATATTCTTCATTGTGGTCCAGTGCATGTGACTATCCCACATGAAATGTAATGTGGCATTTTGTTTGTTTGCAGCTTTGACCCTTCCAGATCTGGCAGAGCAGTTTGCACCTCCTGACATTGCCCCACCTCTCCTCATCAGGCTAGTGGAAGCCATTGAAAAGAAAGGTAATCAGATTGCTAGAGGGAATCAGTTTATTGTTAGATGCTTATCTCAGGGCTGCAATAATTTGTATGTATCTCTGGGGCATTCTGTAAATAAATTTTTACTACCTGCTCTGTGCAGATACTGGGCTAGACACACCAGATATTTGGGTTTATGTACTAGGGAAAGGTTTTTTGAGATAGGGTCTTGCTATGTAATTCAGGCTGCCCTTGAACTCACAGCCATCCTTCTGCCTCAGCCTCCTGAGTGCTGGGATTACAGGCATGCACCACCATGCCCAGCTTCTGGCCTGTGATATCTAACTCAAGACTAACATGTAGTTACTGTATGGAAACTATTAAATCCTCCATCATTTAATAAATATGATTAACTTGCTTCTTAGCAGCCAGCTGGTTTTGCCAAAATTATTGACATGCCAGATAAGATTAATGGTAGGAGTTGACTTCCAAGAATATTTGGTACACCTCTAGAATAGATACTGGATGGAAACTGGAATGTGTCCCTGGCAGCAGGCTCCTAGGTTCTCTAGAGAGCTGTGTTTTGCATACACAGTCTGTTTTGTGTCCTAGGTCTGGAATGTGCGACTCTATACAGAACACAGAGCTCCAGCAATTCTGTAGAATTACGACAGCTTCTTGATTGTGGTGAGTATCATGAAGCTACAGATACAAATGGGAAAGATAGGTCTTACCTTTCTGTTTCTGCTAATACACATAAAAAAATTATCTAATCTATACAACATTCTAAGTTTCAGGGGAACCCAGAAATCAGGCAGAGTTCCCTCAGCCCTGTTAACAATACAACTGATATAGACCTTTGATGTTTAACTCCCTAGTGGGAGTGTAAGTGTGTGCAGTTTGCCTCTGGGCTCTTCAGCCATCATCACAGCTGGGAGCCCCTAGGGTCTGCAGGGGTTGCAATGGAGAGAAGCTCTTGGAATTTCTCTGGCTCTGTGTGTCTACCATCTTCCCTTGACCCTGCTGTTGACCACATGGAATTCATCTGAGTCAGCTAAAAAATATTTATAAGTCTATGTCCTTTTACAGAATCTCTTGTGACATCCTCTTCCTTTCATTACCTTTCCCTTCCATTTAGTTGACTTTCTTCCTTGCTTTTCCATTATCATATTTACATCAGGTAATACCACAATATTGATTTATTTCATGGTGTGCTGGTAAACCACTCTCTGGAAAGAAAAAGCCCTGGTTTGTAGTATTTGCTCATTTCAGTGCTGTAAGGTGTCAAAATCCCCACTCTGGTGGACTTCAAGCTAACCAACCAAATGGCATCGATTGAGGAGCTGAGAGCTGAAAACATTGGGCTCCTGTGAGTCACTGCAAGCCAGTGCCAGCACACCACTGGTTAAGTGACACTGATTAACTCAGCCAAGTGAGGGCTTTATACAGTAGTCACTTTGCCCCTTCCTTGCTCTAAAGAAAACAAAAAACAAAACTGCATAAATCATTTCACTTGCCATCATTCCAGCAAATCATCACATGTCAACTTCTAGAATCACTCCACCCCTTCATTCCCTTATAGTACTTTCTTGTTTGTTTCCAATTTGGATGTTTGAACCAAAGAGAGTAAAACCTAGTTCTGGAAGAAGTTCCTTCAGAAGCATAATTGCCCAGAAATGACCACATAATATAGTAAATGAGAATTTGAAGTCTGAGGCAGCTTCAGAATGAGGCAATTTAGGAAAACTTTTAGAAAAGATGTTTCTTGGAGGGAAGAATGAGACTAGATCTTTATCAGAAAATGCTTTCTTTTGAAATGTACTGTTCAAAGGTTTTGAAACTTAAAAGAAAATTCTTTTTTGAAATTCATTTTCCCATGGTCCACAAGAACCAGCCTCAGACATACGGGGCATATCATCTTTGCAGCTGTGTCTCCTCTGCTCTAAGCAGGGAAGGAAGTTAGAAAGCAAGGCGAAAGGCTTGTTTTTCTGTATTCTGACAGCTTTGCCAGGGTGTTAAGGAAATGCTAACTTTTGTTTTCAGCCAGTTGAAATACAGGTACATGTTTTGGTCAGAATATTGGTCAAATTGAACATGTTAGGAGTCACAGGAAATGCTAAGACATCAGCATCTGATGAAATGGAAGTTATTTGAGAACTTAGTGGTTAGGTTTTTAATGTGCCCAATGCAAAGTGATGCAGGTTAGCTGAAAAAAAAAAAATGTTTTTTCACACCACCTGTGGGATGGCCTAAACCAAGATCACATCATCATGTCATCAGTGCATTTTGACAGGCTTTCCTTCCTCATTGAACTCAATAACACACATGTAGAAAACTAGTTTCGCTTGGATTCTCTGTATAAAAGTGAATTTTTATGGCCCCCTCAAAAGTTATCCAAACTTTGAGTGGACCTACCAAAACTTTCCAGCTTGAAGATTGTTAGTACCTATATTATACCACCCCATAAGAAGCTGCAAGATAAGTCACTTACACCTGAAAAAAAATCATGGCCTTTAAACAATCCTGTGAATTTCCAGTGTCTGCAAAGGAAAGATATGGGGGACAAAAACCCCCACTTTTATTAACATTTGCTGTTTATTTCATCTACACATTAACTTTGTGCATAAGTATTAGTTATTCTAACTTTAAGAAAAGAAAGCTGACCCTCAGGTAACTAAATTCTCTTAGCATTTTTCAGTGGCTCAGTGGCAAAGCTTGTTTCCAAAGTGTTCTTGATACAAAAGTTCTTGGTTTGTTTTGGTTTTTTTTAACTATTTTTACCTAAAATGAATTATTTCTTTCATGTCTCATTTGAGGGTTTTTTGTTTGTTTTTTTTTTGTACCGGGGATCAAACTCAGGACCTTGTGTTTGTCAGGCAGGTGTGGTGCTGCTGAACTACATCCTTGGCCCTGTCTCATTTGTTTTTGTTTTGTTTGTTTTTGGTACCGGTGATCGAATTCGGGACCTTGTGCTTTCGAGGCAGGCGCTGGAACCACTGAGCTAAATCCGCAGCCCTGTCTCCTTTGAGTTTTAATGGTATAAATTTTCTCCTGACATTCTCTTAACCTGAGTCAGGCATGCTCAGCCTCAGCACTATTGACAAGTTAGGCTGGATAAATCTTTGTTAGAAGGGTAGATGACGATCGTGTACATTGTAGTTTGTTTTGCCACATTCCTAGCTCTACCTACCAGGTGCCAGGAGCATCTTCCCCAAGCTGTGATAACCAGGACTGCATGTTTACAAACCCTGCCAAATCTCTCCCACTCCCCAGCCCTACTCCCAGTGGGAACCGCTAACCTAGAGAGGGATTGGGCAGGGAGGGGATGCCTTTCCAGTGGGCAGGAGGAGTGATACGTTAGAGGTTTTACTGGTTACCCATCAAGAGTAGTTGCAGTGAAAAGTGAGGTAGAAAAGAACATCAAGTCTGCCAACCCAGATCTAGAGAAGTCCCCCCATGACAGCTATCAGAAGAGCCTGTCAGGCTAATTTTAATGCAGAAAAGGACTATTAGAGAGCAGAAGTCATAAACTCCAAGGAACTTTAGAAAGTTATGTTACAATAAATAAATATTTAGAAAAACATACTGTGTCCTCAACTCTAATGGAATTTGACATGTAGTGAGCTTCTCCAAAGACCTGTGTGAGGCTGTTTCATTCAGATACCACTGAAGTTCACTGGAACACACACATGGTTTCAGAGAAGAGCTTTGGTGAATGAACGTTAAGGCTTTGTGGCACAGTCCTTGAACCTTTAACATGTTGTGTGTGCTGAGCCCAGAGGGGTGCAGGAAGAGTAGGTGATAGCCACAGCCCTTCTCTGAGGCACCCTGTCTGGTGGGAGACACAGAATCGCCATTCTGTTTGCCAAGTGTCATGATAGAGCGCCTGCTCATCAGCAGTGCCACAGCACAGAGGGAACCCTGCATGAGAGAGGGACACGTGGATATTTAGCATATTAATGTTGAGATACCATTGCCAAATGGCTTAGCACGTTTTTCAGGATGAGCACATTCAGTAATACTGATTTACTGGGCGAAGACATGTTAAATGAAGCATACAAGGGCAAAGTATATGGGAGGCCAGAAGCTTGCCAAATAGTCAGTGGGTGTGTAGTGTTCCTGTAGTGATACGTGTACCATTTTATTTAACGGTACTTAATTATACCAGTAACTGCACATTTTCAACATAGATCCTTTGTCCAAACACCTAGTGTGGCCCTCCCACACTTGTTAAATATGTGATATGTGTCTGGTTAATTTTTGTAGGATATTTAAGAGACATAGCACTTTGTTTCTTCACCTTCTAAGATAAATGATCCTTTTCCTACCCACACTGCATATTAGGGTGACTTTTCTTTTTTTTTGGTACCAGGGATTGAACTCAGGTCCCTGCACTTGTGAGGCAGGCGGTGGCACCACTGAGCTAAATCCCCGGCCCAGGATGACTTTTCTTAAGACTTTGTGGTTTTGTGTTACAATATTTGATAACCTTTGCCTACTTAGTGTACCATGTTTTGTTTATAGGAGTGATGGCAAGTCTTTTAGAGACAGTGTCCAAACTGCAACCCAAAACCCACTTATTTATCACAAAGTGCCAACACTACAATTAAACCTGAATACTGAGATTTTAGTTTAGAAAAAAATAACTTGTACATTAACATCTTTTGTCTTAAAGGAAAAACAAATAACACACATCCCACAGGTTTGGCACCACTGGTTTGGAGGAATGTGTCCAGGAAATTTCTGTAGCCTTAGTCTCAGTTTAGAGTAATGTGTAGTAATAATCGTACTTAGTTCCATTGTGTCTGGGACACTGCTTTCTTCTACTCCTGCTTAAAACACCTTGGTATAGCTTCGATACTTTCTCCTTCTCTCTTAGGCTACTACCCAATCCAGTTGATCACCAAGAATGTTATTTCTTGATAATGTTCACTTCTCACTGCATTAGAATTCAGACCTCATTACTTTGTTTCTGATTACCAAAACCAGTGTCTTTACTCCCAGCAGCATCCTTTTCCAGTTTACTCTTAACACTGCAATTAATGAAGCCACATAAAAATGTAATGTTTTGCCCATCAGCCCACCCTTTCTCCTTTGCATACATGGGACCCCAGGTCACTTTTGTTGTGTTACCCTTCCTTTCGCCAGTGTGCATCCTTCAGCAGCATCAAATGCCTCTCCTGGTTTCTAGCTGCCTGTGTTCATTCCTGCGCCAGCCTCATTGCTCCTCCTGGGCCTGGTGCCTTTTTCCATCCCACAGACTCAGTGCCATACGTTATGAGCACGCATCATGTTTCTGATCAGTATCACCTCTCTATTGAATCATTCAACCTCTTTTCCAGCTGAGGGATTTACTGAATAGATACGTTTATCTTACCTTCTGCCATAGGCTGATGCCCACAGGTTAGATTAGTCATACTCAGCATTAGGGGGCAACATCCAGAAACTGCTCAAATTATTTTTATGGATATTCTTCAGATTTAATTCTCAGTGCATGTTTGTTTTTGTTTTTTGGTACTGGGGATAGAACTCAGGATCCTTGACCCTGTGCTCACGAGGGTAGGCGGTGGCACCACTCAGCTAAATCCCCGGTCCCTCAGTGTAAAATTCTGTATTATCTTAGCAGTTAATCTTTCACTCTGTTAGGTTCAATTTATGTTAATTGTGACATAGACTATTTGTTAATTCAAGTTGAAGGACATTTGAGAATTTGCATTTCTCGTCTTCCCATCATGGTTTTAGGAAACATTTGCCATATGTAGGACCCATCTCAGTCAGGTCAGGATCCCACTGCAGCGGGTTTTGGAAAGGTGGTGGAATTCCATGGACTGGGTGGCTTACAAAATAAAAATGTATTTCTCACAGTTCAAGGGGTTAGGTGTCCAAGATGAAGACACAGGTGTGTTTGCTTTCTTCTGAGGCTTTCAGATGGTGACTTCTCCCTGTGTCCTCACATGGTTCCTCCTCTGTGCAGGCATCTGTGGTGTCTGTGTGTCTTCATCTCCTCTTCTTATAAAGACACCAGTCAGAGTGGAGTAGGGCCCACTCTAATGGGCTCATTTTAACCTAATCAATTCTTAAGGGCCCTATCTCCAAATATAATCACTTTCTGAGATATTGGGGCTTCAACATATATATTTGGGAGGGGCATAATTTACCCATAATAGTGCCATTATGTTTTGTTGCCCCAGAGTCTGGGAATATACTAGTGTATCACAGACTAGGAGCTAGGAATCCTAATGCTTACAATGTGTGGCACAGACCTGCATGGAGAAAAAATTATTCTACTCAAAATTTAGGAAAAAGTCCAATGGGAAACACTCCTAATAACTATTCCATGGCTTGTGTTTGTCCTTATTTTGCTCTTTTTCCTGTGTCACAATTAAGTTCCATATTTGGAAAATTGACCCAAGTGAGATATAAAATAAATGCCTGAAATATTTCTTTTTGAAATATTTCTTAAACTGTTTTTTTTTTTTTTCCTAGATGTTGCCTCCATGGACTTGGAAATGGTCGATGTACAAGTTTTAGCAGATGCTTTTAAACGCTATCTCCTGGACTTACCAAATCCTGTCATTCCAGTAGCCGTTTACAGTGAAATGATTTCTTTAGCTCAAGGTGTGTTTTCTCTTCTGACAACTGCACGGAACATATTTCAAGATGGGAATATGCTTGTAGACTATGAAGTGCACTGTATAAAGACATGGTATTTAGAAGGTATTAGTAGTAAGCTGCCCCTTCCCCTCACTCCCACCAGAAATTTCCTCCCTTATCAGAGTATCCAGTTCTTGTTTGCTTAGAATCTTGTCCATGAGTTGAACTGGCTGATTGACTACATCTGACTACATCTGTGATCAGTAGTGACTACATCAGGAGATCACTACATCTGTGAAGGGCACACTGTTCCCAGTACTAGCGTTAGATGCAGGAATCTAGGACTAGGATCCAGTGACTGGATTGTTCTTGCACCCCACCCCCTCCACCGCCCAAGTGCCCACAACAAAATGTGTTGGAGGAGGAGGGCTCAGTTCTGGGAGGTAAGGCGCAGTTCAGTGCTTTGGGGACAGGAAGTTGTGGTTCATAATCTTCAAAGTTAGACCTGCGATACTTATCTGATGCTCCTCAGAATTAGCCAATCATATTTGGAGCTGCTTGGTAGAGGGCAGATTTTCTGCCAGCACACCCTGAACCTCTTGTAGTTTTTTTTATATGAAGAGTTTGTTGCATTTCCATTTGACTTGAGATTTTTACTTTCTCACAATGCATTTTCTAATGAGAAGGACAAATGTCCTGTGCACCTCTCTTGAAGACTGTGAATGACTCCCTCTGTACCTAGAGGAACGAAGAGACATGGTATGGGTATATTCATTCACTGACTCTTAGACATAGTCTTATTCTTTTGTTCTTTCTTTTAACTTGTAGAAGTACAAAGCTCCGAAGACTATATCCAACTGTTGAAGAAGCTCATTAGGTCTCCTAACATACCTCATCAGTATTGGCTTACGCTTCAGTATTTGCTAAAACATTTCTTCAAACTCTCTCAATCTTCCAGCAAAAATCTTTTGAGCGCAAGAGTGCTTGCTGAAATTTTCAGCCCTATGCTTTTCAGATTTCCAGCAGCCAGGTGAGTGAAATAAGAGAAATGTATGTTGGGGGAGCTGAAGTTAATCCTAAATTGACTGGTCATCAAACGTATTCTCAGATTGACAGTTATGAAATTAGATTATGACCATGCAGATTAAGAATATGTGGGCTGGGGATTTAGCTCAGTGGTTCTGATGCCCGCCTCGTAAGTGCAAGGACCCAAGTTTGATCCCCGGTACCAAAAAAAAAAGAATATGTATGTCCAGGCTCATATTGCACACATCACTAGATTGTATATAAATAAAAATGTGTTTGATTTTTAGGTATAAGTTTTCTAATGAATCCCTCTTTCTTGCAGCTCTGATAGTACTGAAAACCTCATAAAAGTTATAGAAATTTTAATCTCAACTGAATGGAATGAACGACAGCCAGCACCAGGTAAGCTTTGCAACATTTAGCATTCCTTTGTTTGTTTGTTTCTTTGTTGTGTTTGTTTTTCTAGCCTTAGAAATGGTGGCTTTAGCCAAGTGCAATGATGCACTTCTATAAGCCCCACTTCTCAGGAAGCTGAGGCAGGAAGCTCACACGTGTAAGCCTAGCCTGCAGAATTTAGCAAGACCCTGTCCTCAAAAGGGGTGGGAATGCATCTCTCTGTAGAGCATCTCTAAGTTTGATCCTCAGTAGAATACATACATAAGTATGTATGTATGTACTAGATTTAGGCTTACATATGTACTAGATTTAGGCTTCCTCTGAAGTGAAATAAATTTTGGGTAGATTACAGTCCATAGTTATGTGTTACTTTGTAATTTATTTCTTAAAAAATGGAGTAGTAGTGTATTCAGTAAATACTCAGATTTCAACTTTGTGGATTTTCAATTTATCTTTCCTTTAGATCAGAGTTAGGAGAACTGTAGCTATCAACTTCTAGACTTCTAGTTGTTGCATAAATTTATGGAGTTCATTTTAGTTGTTGACATTTTTGTTTTTCTTTCTAATACTTATAAAGTAGGGGACTTATAATTACTGTGTAATTTAAAGTATTTTGGACTGTGTGTTTTGGAAATGTGTATGCTGAGAAGTGTGTGTCAAGATAAACACTGTCCATAATGCCAGCAGTGTGGACACGGTGTTCACTGCAGCAAGGTGGAGGTGGAGCACGCCAGACATTTCTTTGAAAGCAGTCAGTCATTTAACAAAGCAGGAAATGTAGACCATGTGAGCATTTGATTTCATTTAAAGTGATGTATTTCTCTTCTACTGTGGAGTCCTGACAACCTCACTTTGCTATGTGTGGATTAAAAGTTGGCTAACAGAGCTTGGTCATTCAATATAGTGATAAGGGTCCTATAGGTAAAATTTTAGGAGCAGGAGGAAATGTTGCTCATAGTCTGAATCTATGCCTAAATGCAATGAAAAGCTATGCACTTATTACTTCTGATACCAATGTACACAGATTGCTGTGGCAGGAGGGGGCCCCAGTGACCAGTGTCTCACATGGGCTTAAGCTGTGCTTCTCTTTTGGACAGTGCAAAACCAGATCTAGTTATTTGTATCTGGGAGAGGCAAGGGCCTGGGCTTAAAACTCACCTGCAAGGGTGGGATATAGATATCCACTCAAGATGCAGGTATGGGGAAGGGCTTCTGTTGTGAACAGGGCCAGGATACAGTATCAGAAGGGAGAGAGGCGTCCAATTTAGTGCAACGATGGCATGTGCCAAAGGGGCCAAGCCACAATAAGTGAATATTTAACAGTGATGCTCAGAATGGCAGGAAAACTGCATCAGAGAAGACTGTCAATAGGTATGTTCAAAGGGATTCATCTCGTGAAGAAACTTGGGTCATTTGGTAATGGGTTGGGAGCTCTGTGTTGGTGTTCAGAGTCTGCCTCTAGACCTAATGGGAAAGATGGGAGTGGGGCAGGGAACGTGGCACTTGAGCCCTTATTGACTACCCACCCAGACGTGAATCACACAGGTTGGAAGGAAGAGTTCTAGCGAAAATAGGCCGGCCCTGCTCAAAGAGCCAAGCCAAGGTCTTTGACTTCTTCCTGCCCAAGGTTGAAGTGTATTTTATAGTTCATCTTAGCCAAAAGGCCAAGAGGCAATTGACAAGAATTTTAGAAAGGAAGGAGAGCTATACCCTGCCAACAGGAGATACACATGGAAGGTCAAAGTCAGACAGTGCTTGACAGAAACCTACAAATGAATTGACCACATGGAGCTTTCTAGAATTGCTACTATACAGTGCACTGGAATCAGTGGAAGAATTTAATTAGTCTAACTGGTGGAAACTGGTTAAATGTCTTTTATCAGCCTCAGCTTAATTCCACCAAAGTAAAAATTTATCAGCAGCCATTTTCATAGTGTACCCTGAAAGCTGCTTGATTCATCAAAGGACCCTACCTTCCTCTACCAAGAAATTGGTGTGGTGATTTCAAAGGAGAATTAGTTCCATCACTTCTGCTAAAGCATGACAGAGCCTTGAACATTTGCTAAATCATCTCAGTATTCATGCTGCTTCTTAAAAAAACAAAAACAAAAAAACCCTAAATCCAAGTAATTTTTAAACTTTGGCTGAAGCCTTTTTCTCCTTTGTGTGGTATCTTCACTCTGAAAACTGTATAGGCCCTTTGGAATTAAATAATGTTTTGCTCATTGTGAAAACATTACACTACCCACCCATAGGAAAGAACTGCCCTTACCCTGAACACATCTGCATTCAGGAAGCACTGTAGTGCAGGTGACTGGCAGGGCATCCTGGGGTGATGATGTCATTTGTCAGTCCTGCTAGGAAGGCGGCATTTTCCCAGAGTCCTCCATCACTGCCCCAGCATGTGCTAGTACCAGTGGGCTCCAGAAGCGCCTCACTGGCTCATCTGCTGTGAATGGTCATAAATCAGCCATTTGTAGTAACTTTGTAGCTGTGAATAGAAATGAGGCTTGGATGGTATTTAACAGGGACAAAAAGTGAGTGTCTATTATGGGACAGATAGAAATCTTTTCTAGTTTTTACTACAGAGAACTTGATAAACTTGATGACATTTGAGGCAAAAATATCAATTCAAATATGACCTATTAGCCCATACTATCTGATGAAATACTGGGTGGGAATGCTCGTACTGTATGAACTAAAAGAACTTCATAGATGTAGCTGGTGACATTTCAGGGTAATTAAGTAGATAGAAAAAGTTAATGGAAAAAATATGCCTTGGATTAGACCCTGAAAAATAGGTACAGCTTGAAGAAAGAAAAAAAGGAGACTATCATTTTGATTCATGGACTTTAAGGATTTATTCAAAATAGATTGCAAATTACAAAAATAATGGCTTTATATTTGGCAAAAGCAGTAAATACAATCATGTGACATATAAGGAGATTTTGAATGACGGCAGACTGCGTATATGATGATGCTTAGACCATGTAACCTAGGTGTGCAGTAGGCCTTACCTCTAGGCTTGTGTAAGCACACTGCTATTTGCAAGATGACAAGACTGCCTACTGACACATTTCTCAGATGTTCCCGCCATTTAGTGATGCATGACTGCATTTTTAGTGACAGAACCATCAAAAGCATCATTTGGGGGTTGAAAGCACTGTGCAGCTCTATCAAGTGAGGGTTCTTTTCTTTATGGAGGGAAACTAAGATTTGCAAAGGCAAAGCACAGGGTGTTTCCAGAACTTTGTTTTGACATTTTTGGGGTTTTTTTTGGTACCAGGGATCGAACTCACGGCCTTGTGCTTGCGAGGCAGGCAGTGGCACCACTGAGCTAAATCCCTGGCCCTCCAGAACTTTGTTGATAGTTTGTGGTTCCCTGTATTTCTAAAAGACTTAAATATATTTAAAGCTGAATAGCAGGTTTTTCTGAATCATGTGTTACAGCTGCCCTACTAATACTTGCATAGCTAAAGTAGATTTCTATAGGGCAACCAAGGTAAAAATAGGTCCATTTAACTTTGAATGCCACCTATTATAAGTGTATTTACATATTTCAGATTTCATGGATATATTCGGAAATATTAATGTTGCATTATTGAAGCCTAATATTGTACCCTCAAGCCTAGGGTGGAAAATAAATGACTCTTTCTCCCCCTGCCCTTCTACACCTGTCAAAGTTAATTTTTAACCACCAGTGCATTGCAAAACATTCATCCTGAAGAGCCTGGTTCATAAATCTTGTTTTAAAAGCTCTGGGCTTGGTTTTCAACCAAGACTAAAGCAAGCAGTAAGGAAGAGGGAAGTGACTTTCAAAGAGTTTTACTTTTCTCTGATTTATTTTTTATTAGGTTTAAAAATGTGGTCTGACATTGGAAGGTTGTTTCAAAGGCAAGAAATGAAACCTTGAAAAAAATGCATGTATTGAAATGGGTAGAAGTAAACAGAGGCCATACCAAGTTTTATCAAAACAGAAATTTTATGTGTGCTCTGAAAGACACTCGCCCATTTACTGTGTATATGTTGGAGGGTGGAGTTGGTTTTACTTTTGTTTTTACAGTGCAACCTTCTCTTTCTTAAAAGGGACAAGAGCCGTCTGGGGGTGGGTAGCAGGGGAAGAGTTTTTTATTCTGCTAGGCAACGGGTGCTTTTTAGAAAGCTTGCTGAGTATGTTTGATTTTTTAAGTATTCATAAAACTGGATATATTTATAAATGTAAATGGACATTCTCCTTAGTGCAGGGGTATTAAAAGTACTGGATATAAAGTAATGAATTTACATCACCTTAAAAGGCCTAAGTTGTCTTAAGTTAAAAATTATGAAGGAAGCATTTATTTTATCTTTAAATGAAGATTTGGTTCATTTTTTTCTTATTCCCCTTTCTAATAGCCTTTTGTTCATTAATCTTTAAAAAGCTTTTATTTGATACTTGACAGTGATTTGCACATATCAACGACAGTGTTGAGAGTATCAATTTCAAACATATTTTAATGACCAAGAGACATGTTCCTGACTAGCTGAAATCTGCTAGAAAGTGAAATCATGGCTGGTTTTTGCCTCTGAAACAATTTTTACAATTACGGAAAAAAAGGAAAGGGATTCATATTGTTTTAAAGAAAGCAGAAGGTAAAGTTGGTGCTTAGTAATATGTGTAAGGTTTCCAAGGAGGATGGGGCTTTGAGAGCTCAGATGCTGACATTAAAAGACAAGTTTTCTTAAAAGAGCTTAACTACCATTTGAAAGCTATTTCCTAAGTATTATAACATGTGTGACTTTGATTAGTGAGTCATGGGTTAGGTGACAGTTGTATAGTTACGTTTATTAGTTTGTGTGATATTTTGGACATAGTGCAAGAAGCATGAAATAAAAAAGTTCATGGCTTGCTCCCAAGTCAGTCATTTACTTGTTCTGCCAGCAGAGGGCTCCCTTTTTAAACTAATAGCAACCGTGTGCCTTGCAGCTCACTTTTGAAAGACTAAAATGCAATGTGAAAAGATTCAGCT